GGAAAATTTTGAATAGAAGCAATAACTGTATTGTTTGTTATTTAGGATAATTTATTACAACAAACAGCAATGCTAAAATATACGGACACGAAGATTTTTACGAAGCACCACAGTTTGCTTAAAAGATCGGCGAGCACTACAGAAGTAGACACGCGTGACAGAATGAAGTGCTCCATATTTCATAAACAGTGTTCCCTGATACAAAATAAAACAGCAAAATTTTCAGTGAAATTTCTGGTCCGAGAGGATGCAGAAAAAAGTACAGTATTGTACGGACCATGCGGCGCACCGGATTATAAGGTGCACCGTCAATAAATTTCTTGCTTATATTTTCGTACATATGGCGCGCCGGACTATAATGCGCAACCAGTACTATCTGTCCATATATTAGGGGCACTGATTATAGGCGCACGATCGACTTTTGAGTGAAAGTATTTTAAAGTTCGCTTTATGGTGAGCAAAATACGGTAATAGCATTCTTGTGCTTCAAATATATTCAAATATCCAACAAGAACACAACCACAATTTAGCGAATCAATCATATGTACACTACGTATCTATAATTGGGCTCTTAACAATGCTGCGAAAATACACTATAAATGCATGATTGGGAATCCAATCTATTCCATTCAAAACAGATAAAACGATACTTACATTTGTATGGCATATTTCATGAGATTGTAGACCCCTACGTTGGCGAAATGTTACGTAGGTTTGACGGATTTTCTATATAATATTATGATCTTTTGAAACAAACAAATAACTATTGTTAGACCTGAGTAATGGATGCCTTTACTCTTCATAACGATATATTGCAGTTTTGTCTATGCAATGTCTATCTATGAATAAAAATCGTTTTTTGTATAATTTCATGACCTCACGCGAGCTGTACCAGAGCAAAGGCAATGCGCAATCTATAAAAGCATAGCCTATTTCTCCACAGCTTGAAAAAAACAGCAAATTCGTTTCCTTTTTCCAAAAATAACTGATGGCTGTTACTCCTCTGCGTGGTTTAGTTGTGTGAAATCAATTTCTTATTTCTGCTAGATCGGTCTACATATAAATATAATGTCCAATTCATCCTGATGCTGTCTGCAACTGAAAGTTTTGTTTCATAGCCTCAAGGTGTCAAGTCAAACGAATACACTTTTTCGTTGGCTAAACACTGGTAAAACTAGAGATAAGATCTTTCACAAGAGATTGAAGATTGCCAAAGTTAGTTCGAGTGAAAACTTTGTTGAAATAAACATTTTATAAATATTCCTATTGATTTTTCTCGCTTCGTTGGTCAATCACGAGGGAGATTTAAGGGTTTGTAGGGAATTTGCCAGTTTCTCTCTTTGTGCTAAATCATTATCAGCATCACTTAAACAAATTTTATTGTGTTGTGGCACATCAGTGAGGTCTAAATGTTGATGAGGCACACATGAAATAAAGAACAATTTCACGCTATGTTCATGTCCCGAACGACGAAAAAACTGAGTGAGAGGGATTCACAATATACGTTTAACTTCTGCCCACTGCCTTAAACTGTTATTTAACACGCTTCGAACTATAGTAATCTACTCTCGCCTATATCTAACGCCCATGCAAAGTACAGCAATAGTATATCACCAAATCGCAAATAATTTATAATTATACTTCACAATAAATAATCGAGCTTTTTAGCAGCAGACAATAATCTAACAATTTAATCAAATAAACCTCGAGGCTTTGTCTCAATATCGAAGGAAAAACGGCTAAAAACTCATTTAGTTGTGGTTCAAATCAGAGTCGATATATTGCGTTCGACATTTTAACTAGTGTTTATCAGTAGCAGTCAAAGAAGCGCAGTAGAATGTAAATGAATTTAAATACGATGATAAAACAACGTTCATTTAATATCATCAAGCTATTGGGTCCATTTTTATATTTCAGAACTTTCTTCTAAACGCAAGTGGCATTGGCCATGCAATGAAAGTCGATAGATTATAATATTTTTGGCTGTCTTAGTTGTTTAATAATATATATTACCTACGTTAAATCTGAAATTAATGGTGTAATGTCAGTATAGCATAAAATCCTTAAGAATACTGCTGATTACCGATGCCAACGATTGGTGGACCCGGCGGAATTCATGATACTCATTCGAGGCAACAAGCGGACTGGAGTCGGCAAGGTATGCTTATACAAATATCTGGTTTGTTTGTGTTCAGAACTGCTTTGTAAATGATTATTATAATTTAAACTTGATCGAAGTTTTTTTCTTAACAAAAATATCAAACCTGTATCCAGTGGTGAGCTGTAGCCGGAACGCACCGGAACGGCGTTCCGGTTGTTGGACATTTCACTGCATTTGCGTGTCTGTTGTTGAAATAAAATTGTGGTACAAAAAGTCTAGTTTCTCTGGTAAACTTAGTTATTAATTTATGTTTTGTTAAATCATAATTCGTAAGTCTTTTTACGTCACATCACGCAAATAAGTAGTACAGCAGTAAGGTGTAATAGATGTTTCGCCGACCTTTGACCACATGAAAATTCATTCAATACCTTTCTAATAGTAAGATTTGTATTGAATTGCTATGAATACTCTCATAATTTTACACAAACATATTTCATATTATAATTTCTTCGCAGTTCATTGCAGTTCTTTGAAGGTCCGCGTCGTGTTGTGAATATATTACAGTTTTGCGAATTAGGTGCGTTCCGGTTGTTAACGATTTTTTCAGCTCATCACTGCCTGTATCTACCTACTGCTTGATACTAGGTAGCGAATTGTCGAGTGAGTCATCGGTGCTGATTCGTTCAGTTGTGATTTCAGAAATTAAACCTGCTCTTGCAATAGGGTAATCCACTGACTCCGGAGATCGTTTCATTTAGATTCAACAATTGGATCTCCGCTCTATGAGGCCCTTATTGTCAGTAGGCCTTTAAGTCCGTCTGTCTGAGACAGTTCTGAATGAAATTTCTCAAGTGGGTTATCCTATCACCCTAGTATTGTGCGTTGCAGTGAAAATTCGAAACAGTGTTTTGTTCAATGGCAGCAGTAAAAATGCGCGTCGATTGTTGGAAAATTTCGAATTTACTCTTACGTTTTGCCAATTTATGGTAAACGTGGACGAAAATTAAAATTCCGGGAACGCTACCCCTTGCGGAATAAACTACTCTTTCGAACAAGTCCTTCATCATCTCGATACGCCATAAATTGGGGAAGCCTTAGGGTTTTCAGTGAAAATTATTTCATTTGTTATACTTCAGTATACTATATCACTCACTCGAGAACGTCAACGTAACGCGCAGTGCTCAAAGTGAACTGGCAATTTCGGCGACCTGCTCACTTAATAACGCTGCCGTGCTAGATGCGCAAGTTTCTATGGATGGTAACCGGTCGCCTGTGTGAGGACTTCAACTACCAGCAGAGATCCTGGGCGCCTACCAGCTTGTTTATGGATGTATGTCACTGAAAGTTTCTTTTTCATTTCAGGTGAATGCGATACAAAAGAAACATCTTGCATCTTGTGTGGGTTTCTCCATTTATACGGTGTTTATTTTTCTGCCAACTATGATTTGCGGTTTTAACGTGGGAACTATTATTATACCCTTTTGGAACTTGTTTATATTGTTAATAGGAGTTTTTTGCGCCATTGGTCGTAACATTCATGATAAATGTGCGCAAAAAACTCAAAGTTGAAAATTATTTATTGTTTGTATTGGCACAATTACAAGCAAACGGAATTCAAACCAATGCATCTCCTACTGCTGCTCGATTCTACATACGTGCTATCTCATATCCTCCCCGGCGCTTTCATACAGGTCCCGGGTCTTTAGAAGTGAATCCGAGGATTTTTAAAATAAATGCTATAAGTTCGGAATCAACACAAGAAAATGAACATATAAAATCGAATAATGTAATTACTCGGTTTGCCGAACCTAAACCAAGCGAAGCTGATGGAAATCATTCGGACGAAAAAGTGATTAGAAAATGGAATAGTATTTGTACAAAAGATGATCCTTCTTCGTCAAGAAGTTCAAGCAGAAATTCATGTAGCATTGATAGTAACCGTCGTCCATTGAGAAGCTCTATCGAATTAATTACATCGAATCTCAGCCCCAATAATCCACCTAAATACGACAACCTTGAAATTACTGATGTCGTGTGTGTTGATTCAGAAAAGTCGTTCATCACATTTCAACACAAATGGCTGGAACCTCCCTTGAGTTCTAACGAAGATATATACACTGCCTCGTTTACACCAGCAGAAATTGTCAGCGAACAGGAACAAAGCATCACCCCAAATACTAATGAGTCGAGTCCACCTCCGTACTCATCCTTAGAAAACTGAAAATAACAGAAAACGAAAAAATACTTATTGATCAGACAACAATTTTTTTAAAGAAACTTTTAATTACTTGTTTTCAGTATGTAAATACTAAGCCATATTTTTTCAACGACATTGTGACATATGACTATTTTATGTAGTGAGTTATTGATAAAACGTTTTTCTATAGTGTATGGACGCTCAGTAATTTGTCTGAGTAATGTATTCTATGTTTTCCGTAATTCATTTGTTGACAGGTCCAATTAAAATAAAATAGTTGCTTACTATTATATATTTCCCAAGTATTCGAGATTCGATTCGAAAAAAAATATTCGATTCGATTCTGAATTCACCAGGTATTCGAAAATGCCCAGCCCTACTTACAACAACCTTGAACTTACTGATGTCGTGTGTGTTGACTCAGAAAAGTCGTCCATCTTCTTTCAACGCAAATGGCTGGAACCTACTTTGAGTTCTAACGAATATATATACACTGCCTCGTTTACACCAGCAGAAATTGTCAGCGAACAAAATATCGCCTACGAAACGTATGAATCTACTCCACCTTCCTACTTCGTATTTGCTCGTGTTGGGAACGAAGTTTTTAGTTTATATTTTCAATTAATTTCACGTCACGCATTATGAACTGTAAACACACATATATAAAGGCAAGACTTGCAATGTAGAAAGTTTATTCGGCGAACTCTTAATTAGACGAGTATATGCTTATATACAGAACTATATTATAAAATATTATGTACTTCCGTAGTATGTGAACTAAGATGGCGGGCACTGGAACGTAGTATGTGTTGTGTACCAGGATTGGGCCATATTCCCAGGTACAAATACCACGGTAGTCACTTGGTTAGTTTTCAAACTCATAATAGAACTAAAATAAGGAAAATTGGACTGAAATTATGGCCTAACCTGATACACATACTATGTTCAGGTGTCCGCCATCTTAGTTCACTTACTGCGGCCAAATATTTGTATATAGACGTGAACACGTTGTGATGAATGAAGTGCTAAAAATTGTTATTGTACATACTTTTTGACAGTGTCATTGAATATATACTTTTGAAGTTTAAAATTTAGATTGTGCCCCAATTTTATGCCCAATGAGGGAGGAATAAAAAGTTCCAAAATAGTCAAACGAGGGAATTCATCGAATAAAGTTGGGAACCACTTTTTCAAACAAAGTATATGCCGTATTTTATTAATAGTGCGCGTTTGGGAATTTTGAAATCAAGCTTATTCAACAATATATAACAATATATATATTTCCAAAATTTCATCGTTGACCGAACATTTTCTACATCGACATAGCTACTTCGTAACAGGGAGGATCTTTATCACTTGATCGCGATACTGAGCATTCAGTTCGTTGTTCCTCAGAAGAAACTGATTCTGGCGATTCCTTGAACTTTATATCCTCAATGCAAACTTTGGCAAAATGACAGTAAGGTGGTGGTGGCATGCTAGGATTATTATCCTTTGGTGGCGTGACATACGTGCCAACGTGTGCTGGGGGATCATAGAGATTTAGACTAGAGCTGCAAGAGTTTATTGCCAGTGAGTTTGTACTGTTGCTGGGTGAAGATGATGCTTGGTGACTTAAAGCATTTGGCAAAGGCGTTCGTGCCATACATTTTTCATCGATGTTTTCGAGATCTGGCGCAGTATTTTGCATTTCTTGATCGCCCTTTTGAACGTTTCCACTAACGCTCTTTATATCAGAGCACTGTTTCGTTTTTCTTCGTTTTCTCAGTAGGCAATAGTCGAAAAAACATATACCACAAACAAAAGAGCTGAAAAGTGTTATAGGGGTGGCGACTGTACCCACCCATTCAAGTGTGTCAGGGTCATCAATTAGTATTTGAAGTATAAAAACCACAAAATAAGCGAGGGCAAACGGAACTAATAATAAACAACACCCTGAACAGGCTTCTTTAAGTCCTTTCCTGTAAACAAACATAATTTGAGAAAAATGGCGGAAAAAAATAACATTTGGTCTTTTGATTTTTTTTTAATCATTTAAATATAAAGCCCTACGATAAAGTTTAAAAGGTAATGTGGAAAATTTTACAAGAAAGCAATAACCGTTTTGTTTGTTACTGTGAACGCTATCGGGGATAATTTATTACAACAAGAGAGTAATGCTAAAATATATAGACACGAAGATTGCGCATCGGTACCGGTACGGTAAGGCACCGCAGTTTGCTGAAATAATAGGTGGGCACTACAGAAGCATACAAGCGTCCCATATTTCATAAACAGTGTTCAAAGATATGAATAAAACAGCACAATTTTCATTGTAATTTCGGGTCCAAAAGGATTTAGATAAAAAGTATCGTATTGTGCAAACCATGCAGCGTACGTGATTATAAAGTGCACTGTCAATAAATTGCTTGCATAGATTGTGTTCTTTTTCATACATTGGGTACGCCGAACTATGAGGTCCAGTCGGTACCGTTACCGATTTTGAGTGTAGACAACAAGCATAAAGCACTGCCTGATTTATAAGCATATATAACGATACTTACATTTGTATGACAAATTTCATGAGATTGTAGAATCCTTGTGCGTTGACGAAATGTTACGTAGGTTTGACGTATTTTATATAATAATTATATATAATCCTTTGAAAATAAACAAATAATTTATTGTTAGACCTGAATAATGGACGCCTTTACTCTTCATAACGATCTCTTGCAGTTCTGTATATGCAATACATATTTATACATAAACCGCATTTTGCATAATCTAACGACTACATGCGGGCTGTTCAGGAGTTGCAAAGGCAATGCGGAATCAATTAGGGTAGAGCCTGCATTGCTAAAGCTTTGCGATATGAAAACATTGAATTCATTTTACTATTTTTCGAAAATAAATGATTTCCTCTGCGTTTTTTAGCTGTGGAAAATCAAATTACCATTTCTGTTGGATTGGTCTACATCTAATTATAATGTCCAATTCATTCTGATGCTGTACTCTCTGCAACTGAAATTTTTTTTTCATAGCCTCAAGGTGTCAAGTCAAAGAAACACTCGCTTTCGTTGAAAATTCTAATAAATATCGACAAAAATCAAAGATAATATCACTAACAAGAGATTGAAGTTTGCCACAGCTCATTTGAGTGAAAACTTATGTTGAAATAAACATTTTTTATGTTCTCTTGATGATTTTCACGCATCTTCGCTCTTAACGAACCCCTGTTCAAGCAAGCGCTTCAAGTGTTAGGGACGTTTAGACTTTTTTAGTGACGTTTGGGGGTTTGCAAGCTTCTCTCTTTGCGCCAAATCATTGTTTGGTCGACATTGTCCAAATCTCTGAGATTAAAGTTTATGTATATTGAGTGTTTCTGCCAAACAAATGTAATGTTAACTGTTATGATTTATATTTAAAATGAAACAATTTTTTCGTGGAACCTTGTTTCTCCGTGCGTTGATCAAATTTCTTATATTTCAAAGGTTTTTTTTTCTTTACATAGCCCTGGTCAATCACCACAAGCACAAAAAATGAAATTGGATAAAAGATCCCAATGCTCCTTGATTCATTGTAGATCTCTTCCTATACTATTAAGAATCTATTTGACATTTGCCCTCATGATTCTATGTATTGCTTTTGTTAGTTTGATCTGACATAGACTTGCCACGTAATAAAGGTCTTTTTAAATATGGAGCCTAAATCAAGCCAAATCCTGGTATGACGAGGGCTGGGCATTTTGAATCGAATATTATGTTAGATCATCGGTTCTTGACCAGAGGACCATGGCCATACATTTTCACATGAGCCAAAAGGCCATAAAAAAAATCGCTGGAGTTATTGATGAATTTGTATAATTTGATTGAAGTAGCAATGAATGATGATGCTTTTTTGAAACTGTGTAGAAATTTTCCATTTGATTGAAAAAACTGGCAGTGTCTATTTTTGCGGAAAGTATTTTGGTACTCCCGAAGTATGAGAACCAAGATGGCGGACACCGAAACGTAGAATGTATACCAGGTTAGGGTTAGGCCATATTTTTTTTCCAATTTATTTTATATTAGTTCTATTACGAGTTCAGGGACTAGCCAAGCGACTCCCGTAGTTTTTGTACCTGAAATTATGGCCATTCGAGATTCAATTCGAAAAAATATTCGATTTGGGTCTGAAATCATCAAGTATTCGACAATGCCCATGTTTATCGCGGATGAGTTTTCCGAGTATTTTAGATTTAGTTTCATTACCTTGTTGAATGCTCGGTTTCATAAACATTTTTGTCTATTCTGTTGCTTTTTTAAAGATAATAGTAATATCGCAAAACATCAAATTCATTATTATAATGGCATAACAGTTTAACGAGAATATCGGTCGGAGACCGAAGATTTATCGATCGAGCGATAATTAACTAATTAATAACTCGCTAATTATACGACATAATTAACCTAATCTATAGGCTTCTGGTCCGAGATATGATGCATGCACAAGCAAAATTTGGAGCAGATTCAACCTCGCCTTCGTGAGATATCGCGTTCATCTAACAGACAGACAAATACCCATCAACATACTTACAGATCTTAAGATCGATAAGTAACTAGTTACTTGTATATATATGGGAGTGCACAACATGACTCGAGATCGTAAACGCTGCGTTGCAATAATTGCACAATAGACGGAAACCATAATGAGCCAATACTTGGCAATCAGTTAAATCAGTGACAAATTGCGGTTATTAATATCTGTTCTGTTCTGAAATATGAAAATGGACGCAATAGTTAGATGATATTAAATGGAAGTTGTTTGATTATAATATTTAAATTTATTTACATTTCTACTGCGCTTCTTTGACTGCTAACTGCTGAACACTTGTCGAAATGTACATAACGCAATAATGCATCGATTATGATATGAACCACAACTAAAATAGTTTTGTAGAAAAATTACTCTAAGCTTCATGGTCGATAAATAGTGGAGGCTAGATTACTAGTTTGTTGCAAGCGTGTTGTATACTAGTTTAATATAGTGAGCTGAATAGCATATCGTCACGCAGACAACTAAATTGCGTAAGTCATTTTACGAAATTTTGAGAAAAAAGTATAAAAAACTTTCTCATGAAATTGTCATGCCATCGAGAGTCAATAATTTCCCACGGTTTATTTTTTTAGTCGTAGCCGGATTCAAATTAATTTGTATGACGCAGGTATGTGACGTAATAATGTCGCACTATCACTTAATGAGAAATCTGCCAACTGCACACTTTCCTATGCTGTAGTGTCAATTCAAATTTATAAGCGCTAAGCTAGAATCTAAGGTGCAAGAATTCAAAATTATTCTGCCGGTGTTATTTTGCCTTTGTGAAGTCACAATTGTCTTGCTGTAATAATAATAATTCAATATGACGAAACAATTGCAGAATGTGCATGTCACACAAAATCTCCTTAGGTTTCGAAATTCTTGGGTCAAAATCAGAGTTAACAGACAGGTGCGCAGCATTACCTAAAAAAAACTATTTTATATAAAAAAGGTTAAAATCGCCAAAAAAGAAAAAAGCAATTCGGTTTTCAGCCTGACGATATTACGTATATTATTTTTATTTGTCCATAGTGGGATTTATATTTTCATGTTGTGAATGTAATACGCCGGACCCATCCTTGTGCTTTTCGGTCTATAGCAGGTTTCCCAATCTGTATACTACGACACTGCTATACCTCGAATAAGCGCGGCAAAAATTCAGTGTTAATAATAAATGCTTACACTTAGGAACTCAGCCTCGATAATCCACCATCTTACGATAACCTCTATGAACTTACTGATGTAATTAGTGTTGATTCGACGCAAATGGCGGGAACCTTCCTTGAGTTCTAACAAAGATTATATATTCTGCTTATATTATATATTCTGCTTTGTCTACACCAGCAGAAATTGTTAGCGAACAAAAGATCGCCTCTTATTGATCCTTACTTAAAACTAAATATAATATTTGGGAGCGAGACTTTAAACTTCTATTTTTAATCAATTTCAAGTCACGTATTTCAAACTATATATAACGCCCAGGCTTAAAAAGTAGCACGTTTATTCGGAAAACTCTTAATTATGAAAGGAGTATCTGCTTATAGTTTCAGAACTATACTATAAAATATCTTTATATAGACGTGTTAATATAAGAATGTCGAAATGCATCTAGGTGTCTATCACCACCTGTAACTGGGTCCGAAGACCAATATATGTGTTGTCGCAATATTAAACAATAGATCGGTTTATAAATTACGAGGCAACTTTGGTATGCGATCTCACTTGCGTAACGTTTAATTTCACGAAGACATTTTTATAGAATCCAAACCCTAACTAAAATCACCGAGATCACACAATCGCATACCAAAGTAGCACCTATATAGTATTCGCTTTTTGTGAGGCAATAGCGTCTAAAATAAAGCGCTAAAAATTGATATTACGCATACATTTTCGACAGTGTCATTAAAAATATACTTTTGGCGTTCAAAATTTAGAATGAGTATATACTAGGTTTCTTGTGTCAAGAACTTGCCATTTGCAATTTTATAAGGCCTACCAAAAAGCGTGCGCGTGGGACAAAGTTTGGGAAACTCTTGTATAGCGCACATGAAGCCCACGTTTCCCAACCTAATTACCCAAGGGTGCGCATATAGTGAAGAAGTTTCGCTACTCTAAGCCCACGTTTCCCAACCCAAGAAGAATTTCTTCCCGGTGAAGAATTTTGCTTCATATTTCCTGTAGTATTACTAATATTCTTTAGTTCTTTATTTTATTTATTATAATACTTATTTAGGAACACATTAAAAACTACAAAAACTGCACAAAATCGACAGTGCCACTTGCACATAACACTAGCTAAGAATGCAATAAAGATTGAATACAAAAACTAACTTTTATGCACAATAAAGAAGGAATAAAAAGTTCCAGAATAGTCAAACGGAGGAATTCAACAAAATAAAGTTGGGAACCACTTTTGCAAACAAAGTCTATGTCGAATTTTATTGATGAGGCCGCCGAGGCGTGTATGGGTATTTCGAAATCAAGCTCATTCAACAATATATATATTTCAAGCATTTTATCGTCGATGGAACATTTTCTACATCGACATAGCTACTTCGTAACAGGGAGGGTCTTTATCACTAGTTCGCGATACTGAGCATTCAATTTGTCGTTCTTCAGTCGAGACTGATTCTGGTGTTTCCTTGAACCTTATATCCTCTATGCAACTTTTGACAAAAAGACAGTAGGGTGGTGGTGACATGCTAGGGCAATTATCCTTTGACGATGTGATTTCGCAACGACGTTCTTGTTCTAAGCATGATGAATCTTCATATAGACACACTGGTTCAGGTACATGCATACAGGGTCGAGTAGTAATCGAAGTCTTATGTAGAGATTCATTTACGTCGTTTTCTATGGTGGCATCATTATTTTTAACGTGTGGCGTGACGTACGTGTCATCGTTTGGTGGTGGGTCATAAAGATTTAGACTAGAGCTACAAGAGTTTATTGCCAATGAGTTTACACTGTTGTTGAATGAAGATGTTGCAAATGACGATTCATTCCCATCATAACTTAGTGGTGTCCCGGGTTCTTTCATAAAACAATGGTCGACAATTGTAGTTGTCTGCTGTAGCGAGTCATCTTCGTTGTTTGTTCTAATGGCATCATTATTTTCTATTTGTGGCGTGACATGCGTGCCATTGTGTGATTGTAGGTCATAAAGATTTAGACTAGAGCTGACAGAATTTGACAAAGATGATAATGATCGTGACGACGATGAGGTACTAAAGGTAGAGATAGAGCTTGTTGCCATTGAATATGACATTTGATTTTCATTGCTGTTTTCCGGATCTGGTACAGTATTTCGCCTTTCCTGATAACTCTCCTGGACTCTTCTACTGACGCTCTGTATATTAGACCGTTGTTTTTTTTTTTTTTTTTAGATCCACCTTTGGAGATGTTACAAAGAATACTCCAGAATCCTACCACAATAACAAATACAACATAGGTCGCAGTTCGAAGTCCACCATCATCAAATATCCCTGCAAGTAATGCAAGAAGAACCAAAAGAAAGAAGGGACAACATATACAGCTTGCACTTATGCACATTGATTTGAAATGTTTGCCTGTAAATAAAAGATTTGAAAAATGAGACATTGGTGAGCAAAAATAACATTTTGTCATTTGATTTATTTCTAATCATGATTCCTTCTATAAAGTTTAAAAGGTACTGTGAAATTTTCAGATAAAGCAATAACTGTATTGTTTGTTATCTACAAAGGTTATTTAGAATAATTTATTACAACAAAACATTAATGCTAAAATATACGGACACGAAGGTTTGTACAAAGCACCGCAGTTTTCTGAAGTGATTGGTGAGCACGAAAGAAGAAGACAAGCGTGACGGTGCTCCCATATTTCATAAACAGTGTTCCCTGATATAAAATTAAACAGCTGAATTTCTATGGAACATGCGGCGCACCGGATTATAGAGTGCACTGTCAATGAATTGCTTAGATTATTTTTTTTATTCATACATAGAGCGCGTCGGACTATATTACGCGACTAATACTGCTTTGAGTTTAGGCAACAAAGCGTAAAGCAGTGTCTGACCATATATTAGGCACACTGGATTATAATAAACACGATCGATTTTTGAGAAAAGTGATTTTGAAGTGTGGTGAGTAAAATACGGAATATACCCAAACATCCATCAACAAAACCACAATTTAGCGAATCAATCCATATGTACACTACGTATCTATAATTATGGTTCTTGACAATGCGGCGAAAATACACGATAAATGCATTATTGGGAATCCAACCTATTCCATTCAAAACAGATAAAACGATACTTACATTTGTATGGCATATTTCATGAGATTGTAGACCCCTTGTACGTTGGCGAAATGTTACGTAGGTTTGACGGATTTTCTATATAATATTATGATCTTTTGAAACAAACAAATAACTATTGTTAGACCTGAGTAATGGATGCCTTTACTCTTCATAACGATATATTGCAGTTTTGTCTATGCAATGTCTATCTATGAATAAAAATCGTTTTTTGTATAATTTCATGACCTCACGCGAGCTGTACCAGAGCAAAGGCAATGCGCAATCTATAAAAGCATAGCCTATTTCTCCACAGCTTGAAAAAAACAGCAAATTCGTTTCCTATTTTCCAAAAATAACTGATGGCTGTTACTCCTCTGCGTGGTTTAGTTGTGTGAAATCAATTTCTTATTTCTGCTAGATCGGTCTACATATAATTATAATGTCCAATTCATTCTGATGCTGTCTGCAACTGAAAGTTTTGTTTCATAGCCTCAAGGTGTCAAGTCAAAGAAATACACTTTTACTGGTAAAAATACTGGTAAAACTAGAGATAAGATCTTTCACAAGAGATTGAAGATTGTCAAAGTTAGTTCGAGTGAAATCTTTGTTGAAATAAACATTTTATAAATATTCCTATTGATTTTTCTCGCTTCGTTGGTCATTCACGATTAAGGGGAGATTTAAGGTTTTGTAGGGAATTTGCCAGTTTCTCTCTTTGTGCTAAATCATTATCAGCATCACTTAAACAAATTTTATTGTGTTGTGGCACATCAGTGAGGTCTAAATGTTGATGAGGCACACATGAAATAAAGAACAATTTCACGCTATGTTCATGTCCCGAACGACGACAAAACTGAGTGAGAGGGATTCACAATATACGTTTAACTTCTGCCCACTGCCCTAAACTGTTATTTAACACGCTTCGAACTATAGTAATCTACTCTCGCCTATATCTAACGCCCATGCAAAGTACAGCAATAGTATATCACCAAATCGCAAATAATTTCATAATTATACTTCACAATAAATAATCGAGCTTTTTAGCAGCAGACAATAATCTAACAATTTACGGTAATCAAAATACCTCGAGGCTTTGTCTCAATATCGAAGAAAAAACGGCTAAAAACTCATTTAGTTGTGGTTCAAATCAGAGTCGATATATTGCGTTCGACATTTTAACTAGTGTTTATCAGTTAGCAGTCAAAGAAGCGCAGTAGAAATGTAAATAAATTTAAATACGATGATAAAACAACGTTCATTTAATATCATCAAGCTATTGCGTCCATTTTTATATTTCAGAACTTTCTTCTAAACGCAAGTGGCATTGGCCACGCAATGAAAGTCGATAGATTATAATATTTTTGGCTGTCTTAGTTGTTTAATAATATATATTACCTACGTTACATCTGAAATTAATGGTGTAATGTCAGTATAGCATAAAATCCTTAAGAATTCTGCTGATTACCGATGCCAACGATTGGTGGACCCGGCGGAATTCATGATACGCATTCGAGGCAACAAGCGGACTGGAGTCGGCAAGGTATGCTTATAAAAATATCTAGTTTGTTCGTGTTCAGAACTGCTTTGTAATTAATTATTATAATTTAAACTTGATCGAAGTTTTTTTCTTAACAAAAATATCAAACCTGTATCCAGTGGTGAGCTGTAGCCGGAACGGCGTTCCGGTTGTTGGACATTTCACTGCATTTGCGTTTCTGTTGTTGAAATAAAATTGTGGTACAAAAAGTCTAGTTTCTCTGGTAAACTTAGTTATTAATTTATGTTTTGTTAAATCATAATTCGTAAGTCTTTTTACGTCACATCACGCAAATAAGTAGTACAGCAGTAAGGTGTAATAGATGTTTCGCCGACCTTTGACCACATGAAAATTCATTCAATACCTTTCTAATAGTAAGATTTGTATTGAATTGCTATGAATACTCTTATAATTTTACACAAACATATTTCATATTATAATTTCTTCGCAGTTCATTGCAGTTCTTTGAAAGTCCGCGTCGTGTTGTGAATATATTACAGTTTTGCGAATTAGGTGCGTTCCGGTTGTAACGATTTTTTCAGCTCATCACTGCCTGTATCTACCTACTGCTTGATACTAGGTAGCGAATTGTCGAGTGAGTCATCGCTGCTGATTCGTTCAGTTGTGATTTCAGAAATTAAACCTGTTCTTGCAATAGGGTAATCCACTGACTCCGGAGATCGTTTCATTTAGATTCAACAATTGGATCTCCTTGGAGACCCTTATTGTCAGTAGGCCTTTAAGTCCGTCTGTCTGAGACAGTTCTGAATGAAATTTCTCAAGTGGGTTATCCTATCACCCTAGTATTGTGCGTTGCAGTGAAAATTCGAAATAGTGTTTTGTTCCATGGCAGCAGCAAAAATGCGCGTCGATTGTTGGAAAATTTCGAATTTACTCTTACGTTTTGCCAATTCATAGTAAACGTGGACGAAAATTAAAATTCCGGGAACGCTACCCCTTGCGGAATAAACTACTCTTTCGAACAAGTCCTTCATCATCTCGATACGCCATAAATTGGAAAAGTCTTAGGGTTTTCAGTGAAAATTATTCCATTTGTTACTTCAGTATACTATATCACTCACTCGAGAACGTCAACGTAACGCGCAGTGCTCAAAATGAACTGGCAAATTCGGCGACCCGCTCACTTAATAACGCTGCCGTGCTAGATGCGCAAGTTTCTATGAATGGTAACCGGTCGCCTGAGTGAGGACCTCAACTATCAGCGGACATCCTGGGCGCCTACCGGCTTGTTTATGGATGTATGTCACTGAAAGTTTATTTTTCATTTCAGGTGAATGCGATACAAAAGAAACATTTTGCATCTTGTGTGGGTTTCTCCATTTATACGGTGTTTATTTTTCTGCCAACTATGATTTGCGGTTTTAACGTGGGAACTATTATTTTCCCCCTTTGGAACTTGTTTATATTGTTAATAGGTGTTTTTTGCGCCATTGGTCGTAACATTCATGATAAATGTGCACAAAAAACTCAAAGTCGAAAATTAAACAGAGTATTGGCACAATTACAAGCAAACGGAATTCAAACCAATGCATCTCCTACTGCTGCTCGATTCTACATACGTGCTATCTCATATCCTCCCCGGCGCTTTCATACAGGTCCCGGGTCTTTAGAAGTGAATCCGAGGATTTTTAAAATAAATGCTATAAGTTCGGAATCAACACAAGAAAATGAACATATAAAATCGAATAATGTAATTACTCGGTTTGCCGAACCTAAACCAAGCGAAGCTGATGGAAATCATTCAGACGAAAAAGTGATTAGAAAATGGAATAGTATTTGTACAAAAGATGATCCTTCTTCGTCAAGAAGTTCAAGCAGAAATTCATGTAGCATTGATAGTAACCGTCGTTCATTGAGAAGCTCTATCGAATCAATTACATCGAAGCTCAGCCCCAATTATCCACCTTCATACGACAACCTTGAACTTACTGATGTCGTGTGTGTTGATTCAGAAAAGTCGTTCATCACATTTCAACACAAATGGCTGGAACCTTCCTTGAGTTCTAACGAAGATATATACACTGCCTCGTTTACACCAGCAGAAATTGTCAGCGAACAGGAACAAAGCATCACCCCTGATACTAATGAGTCAAGTCCACCTCCGTACTCATCCTTAGCAAACTGAAAATAACAGAAAACGAAAAAATACTTATTGATCAGACAACAATTTTTTTAAAGAAACTTTTAAATACTTGTTTTCAGTATGTAAATACTAAGACCGAAATGTTAATCGCTCAATACATGTATAAAAGTATATGTATGGTTATATGGATAATGTCTACAAGCAAAGAAAAACTGCATGAGATTAAATTGTACTAACGAAAGTCAAAAGGGAACGTTTTGCCCATGGCAGGTATAGCGATTTCATATCACGAAAGCATTGCAGTATAAATAAGAAATCAAATTCATGGCGCATACATGTTGGGTTCATGATTCAACAAATCAAGTCATATGAATCTGATAACAACCAGAAAAGGCAGTCAGACTGGATATATATCTGAATCGGACCAAGTTATGAGAAAGCTTGTTTTCTTCTGTATTTCAATCACAATTGTGTTTTTAGCTGCAAGTGAATGAAGCAGAAATTTGGTTTTTAATTTACAAAAAAGCAAACAATTTAAATGAACATTCAGTTAAAACGCCCGAGGGTGTACATAGACTTGAACAAATACCACAATTCTCGTTTTAATATGATCAATATGTAGATTACCAAACGAGTGTACTGCATTGTTGATTTCATATGGTCCTCTCTCGATCTCGTTGTACAAGAATTGAAGTCTGTGAGGTGCTTCCAAGATGGCGGACATCGCCGCGTAGTATGGGTAACAGGTTAGGCCAAATTTTATTCCAATTCTCCTTATTTTAGTCCTAATATGTTCGAAGCCTAGCCAAGTTCCTCCTGTAGTATTTGTACCTAAAATTATGACCTAACCCTAACCTGGTACACATATTACATTCCGATGTCCGCCATCTTGGTTCGCATACTACAGGAGTACCGTCTGTGATATGCGCGCTTTGGTATTGCCGAAGTATGTGAAACAAAATGGCGGACGACGGAACGTAGTATGTGTACCATATTGTGGTTATGCCATAATTTCAAGTACAAATACTACGGAATACGGATGTCACTTGTCTGTTCCCCGAACTCGTAATAGAACTAAAATAAGAAAAATTGTAAAAAAAAATTATGGCCTAACCCTAACCTGGTTTCGGTGTCCGCCATTTTGGTACACATACTTCAAACCGTACCCATATATTTGAGCATAGCTCTTCTGTTAGTTATAAAGAGCAAAATATATTCAGCATCAACAATATAATTTGTGAGGGGGCTGATGGACACATGTGGAATAGTCATGATTATGAAGTTAACAAGGTCCGAAAATTTTGTTGTTTTCATGTCTCTTTGTGCATGTCGTCCTATTTATTAGACGCTAAACCTAAATTTAACCATTTTTACTGAATTTTAGTCCAATAGGTATACCATGGGATGGGGTGGGACAGGCATAATTTCTATGAGATGGGATGGAAATGTGACAGACAAATATGTCACATGGACAAGCCTGGTAATCTACTCTCGCTTATATCTATAGCCTATGCAAAGAACAACAATATTATTTCACCAAATGTCAAATAATTTATAATTATACCTCACAATAAATAATCACGATTTTTAGCGTCAGACCAAAAAACATTTTCAGATGACCGCCATCTTGGTTCACATACTACGGGAGCGTCATTTATTGTTAGACCTGATTAATGGACGTAATTTATAAAGATCTATTGCAGTTTTGTCTATGCAATGCATATCTATGTATATAATTCGTATTTTGCATAGTTCCATGACATCACTTGGACTGTACAGGAGTTGCAAAGGCGATGCGGAATCTAAAAAAGTATCGCCCGCTTTTCCAACGACTTGTCCAAGACAAAAACAGTAAATTCATTTTACTTTTTTTTTAAAATAACTGATGGCTGTTACTCCTCTGCGTGGTTTAGCTGTGGGAAATCATTTTGTTATTTTTGCTAGATCGGTCTACGACTAACTATAAGGTTCAATTTATTCTGATGCTGTACTGTCTGCAACTGAAAGTTTTGTTTCATAGCCTCAAGGTGTCAAGTCAAAGAAATACACGCTTACGTTGAGAAGCTTATATGTATCAGCAAAAATAATAGACGAGAATATCGGACAGAGACCGAAGACTTATCGATCGAAAGTTAGGGGATCCCCAAAACAGCGCTCTTACTCCATAGTGACACCTTGTGCCCCATCACTAATTAATTGATAACTCGCTAATTATACGACATAATTCGCCCAAAATCAATAGGCTTCTGGTCCGAGATAAGATAAATGCACATGCAAAATCTGGAGCAGATTTAATCTCGCTTACGTGAGATATCGCGTGCACCTAACAGAAAAACAAACAGACAGACAAATATATATCAACATACTTACCGATTAAAATCGATAAGTAATAAGATATTTAACAAGAGATTGAATTTAACCACGGTTCGTTCGAGTGAAAACTTTGTTAAAATAAACATTTCATAAATATTCTCATTGATTTTTCTCGTTTCGTTTGTCCTTCAAGATTTAGGGGAGGGTTTGTAGGGAGATTGCCAGTTTCTCTCTTTGCGCTAAATCATTATCATCATCACTAAAACAAATTTTCTAATTTAATTTTTTTTAATTTTTACTTCAGAATTACTGGGGTCCGGACATTTCAGAAAATTTATTTTATTAAATAAACGAAACTTCAAATGCATTATTAGTTAAATACAAGAGCAATGAATGGCTCACAAATACGGATACACATGTCGCACATCGGTACCAGTATACTGGTTGGATGTTTCCCCGTCACTTCGTTCGCTCGGACAGATATTCAAGCATGGCTGTAAACCAGCCTCGTTTTTTGTGGCCTCGCGTGTTATTTCTGAAAATTAGTTGTAAATGAAGTATTGTAGCTGTCATCATGTCTTCCTAAAAAGCTTTAGCTTAGTTACAATACTAAAAAATGAGTCCCGGGAAAGCTGCGATAGACTATGCTTAATTGGGTGTGTAAGCGGCATGTGGTTGTATATTTTATAAAAAATAATGGTTATGAGCATGTGAATCAATTTGTAAATGTCAACTTTCTGAAACACTCGCATCCATAATTTTGCAGTAGTAAAATATAGGGAGAAATTTCCTAGGGTCAAAGGTTGGGGATACATCCTAAGGATCTTTTCATCCAGTATATGTAAATAGTATAAAAATCATCTGAAACTATAGTATAAAACGATGTAATCTTACGTCGACCCTGTACAAAGCTAAGCAAAACGCTCAAATAAGGCATGGCTGAATGCAAGTGACACTGAACACAAGAGACACCATGATACGGAAAATGAAGTTTATTTTCTCATATGCAAAGTTAATCCCTAAAAATGGTTATTTCAGCAATGACTCACAGAATAACAATAGCAGACGCGGTCCAAATGCAATGGTCGATAGGTCCGAATTCGGACCGCCAGTTGAGTAGCCCTGCCCTAGCATACAGTTTGGGGAAAGCGTGGTTCAGAGCGAATAGCATAATGAAAGGGTCCGACGTATCCCTTCACAACATAAAAATAATATACAAATCCCACTATGGACAAATAAAAATAGTATACGTAATATTCCATTCTGCCCACTGCGTTGAACTGTGATTTAACACGCTACGAAATAGTAATCTACTATCGTCTATATATAACGCCCATGCAAAGAACAGTGATATTATATCACCAAATCGCAAATAACTTGTAATTATACCTCACAATAAATAATCGCGCTTTTTAGCAGCAGACCATAATCTTAAAATTCAATCAAAATACCTCGAGGCTTTGTCTCGATATCGACGCAAGAAACGAATAGAAAATTATTTTAGTTGTGGTTCATATCATAATCGATGTATTGCGTTATCGACATTTTAACCAGTGTTTAGCAGTTAGCAGTCAAAGAAGCGCAGTAGGAATGTAAATAAATTTAAATATGATGATAAACTCACTTCTAAATGAAAGTAATAAGTTGATACATTTAATAATTTTTGGCTGTCTTAGTTGTTCAATATTGTATATTACTTACGTTACATTTGATAATAATGGTGCAATTTCAATAATGTGTCAGTAGCATAAAATCATAATTCTGCTGAGGAATACCGATGCGTTCAACTAGAAAATACGGGGGATTTCATGGCACACATTTGAGGCATCAAGCGGGCCGGAATCGGCGAGGTATGCTTGTAAAAATATCTAGTTTATTTGTTTTCAGAACGGCTTTGTAATGAATGTACATTTGTACTTGATCAAAGTTTTGTTCCTAATAAAAATATCACAAATTCACCTTACTACTTGATTGCCAACCATGCCGATTCGTTCAATTGGGATTTAAGGATTTTTTATGCAAAAGAAATTTTCACCGAAGTGAACAATTTTTAATCTGATTCCATATACTTTATGATTAAATATAACGCTTTGAGTGTATATTAACTGAATGCTTCTTTTTAATTTCAGATGGGAAATGTACAATAGCAAAATGCATTGGGGTCCCGCTTTTTCTTTCCTTTTATGTGGTGATGGGTTTTGTGCCAGCTTTTATTTTCGGTTTCAACGTGGGAACTATTATTTTCTCGATTTTATCCTTGTCAATATTGTTAATTTCAGTGTTGTTGGACATTCGCATTTACATTCATAATAAATGTACGAAAAATCCAACATGTCTTGTATTAAATAGGATCAATTTGTGTTGCAAACGAGTAAACTCACTTTGTCCAACCCTAAGTTCATCAAAAAACAGCGAATTGCCAAAATTACGAGCAAACGGAACTCGAACCAATCCATCTCCTATTGGTATCCTAACCCAAATACGTGCTATCTCATATCCGCCCCAGCCTTTTCATACAGGTGCCGGGTCTTTGGAATTGAATCCGCGAATTTGCAACATAAATGCTATAAGTTCGGAATCAACACAAGGAAATGAACATATAAATTCGAAAAATGTGATTACTGGCTTCGCCAAACCTAAACCAAGCAACGCAGATGAAAAACATTCAGACGAAAAAGTGATTACAACATCGAATAGTATTTGTACAAATAATGATCCTTCTTCGTCGAGAAGTTCATGCAGAAATTTAAGTAGCAGTGATAGCAACTGTCTTCCATCGCATAGCTCTATCGAATCGAGTGCCTCGAATCTCAGCTTCGATAATACACCTTCATACGACAACCTTGAACTTACTGATGTCGTGTGTGTTGATTCAGAAATATCGTCCATCACATTTCAACGCAAATGGCTGGAACCTTCCTTGAGTTCTAACGAAGATATATACACTGCCTCGTTTACACCTGCAGATATTGTCAGCGAACATGAACAAAGCATCACATCTGAGACTAATGAGTCAAGTCCGCCTCCCTACTCGTCTTTAGAAGACTGAAATTAACATATGAAGAAAAAATACTTATTAACCTGACAACAATCCTAAACAAAGTTTCAGCAAAGCTTTTAACTTCTTGTTTTCAGTATGTGAATATTAAGACTGAAATGTTAATCACTCAATACATGTATAAAAGTATTTGTATGGTTATATGGAGAATGTCTATAATCAAAGAAAACTGCATGCGATTAAATTTTACTAACGAAAGTTTAAGGTACCGTTTTGCCCATGACAGATTACGATTTTCGGTGCTCCCGTAGTATGTGAACCAGGTAGGGTTGGGGCATAATTTTATTCCGATTTTCACTATTTTTAATACTAATATATACGAGTTCGGCGATTTTCTGTGTTAGCCAAGTGAATATAACCCCTGCCCATAAGTTTCAGTTCCATATAAATTCGAGTAATGTAATCACTTGGTTTGTCGAACCTAAACCAAGCAAAGTTTAGGGAGATCACATCGACGATTTGTCGAGTTGGAATAGTGTAACTTCAGTGTTGTCAAACTCTGTCAGCTTCAGTGTATTGTCATCGTCGTCAAATTCTGTCAGTTCTATTCTAAATCACCATGACCTACCACCACACAATGGCACGTATGTCACGCCACGAATTGAAAATAATGATGTCATTAGAACAAACAACGACGATGGTTCGCTACAACAGACAACAACGATAGTTGCTAATGTTATATGCAAAACATCACTAAGTTGTGATGGAAATGAATCGTCATTTGCATCATCTTCACTCAACAACAGTGTAAACTCATCGACAATAAACTCTTGCAGCTCTAGTCTAAATCTCCATGACCCACCACCACACGATGGCACGTACGTCACGCCACACGTTGAAAATAATGATGCCACGATAGGAAACGACGTAAATGGATCTCTACAGCGGACTTCAATTACTAACCAACCCTGTATGCATTTACTTTTATATGAAGATATGTATTCCTCTTGCTTAGAACAAGAACGTAGTTGCGAAATCACAACATCAAAGGATAATTATCCTTGCATGCCACCACCACCCTACTGTCTTTTGTCAAAAGTTGCATAGAGCAGGGCTTCCCAAACTAGAGACTGCGGCCCTGGAAGGGGCCGCGAAACGAATTTTAGGGGCCGCAAAGAGAACACCAATTTTACACAAAGTACCATATATATTGTACTTTTTTCAGACTCTTGATTCGAAATACAATTATTATACAAATAGTGTAAAACAAAGATTTCACCATTCCAAATGAATACATCACCATAATACCGTGTTTTTCCGAAAATAAGACACTGTCTTCAATTTTCTTTCGAAAATAACACTAGGGCTTATTTTTGGGATAGGAAATAATGAGATTTTTGTTATACAGAATATGAATACCGATTTCCATTTACTTATAAATAGCACGTTTTTATTTTAAATAACTGCTACATATAGACTTTTAACCTTTAAAAAAAGTAGAAAATATTTCTTGCCATCGACTGGGACGCAGTTGTTCTCGAACTTCATCGTATTGTGACGCCCTTCAAAAATATGCTCAAGTTGCGACTCCCCGTGAAAATACCTTTCAATAAAAGCCTTTTTCGCAATGAGTTCCATATAAACGAACAAACAAAACTTAACGATAGTCAGTGAAATCGCAATTAATGGACCTTGGTAGAAAAGCCTGCTTTATATAAATACGAAATCGCAAAGAAGATGGGAGTGCGCAATGCTTTTTGAACCAAGGACAAATAATCTTTATCTACAGAAAACCGAATTTCCAGTATTAAACTTTCCTATTATAGCAACATCACACGTAAGATCGATTTAATATTTCTTTTTTCCAGTGAAAGTAGAAGATATGGGTTGTTTGAAAGGTTCACCAATCACGAAATTTTGCGACGTCCTAGCAAAATTGAAACGACGAACTTTCCCGAGATTGAGTCGAAAAAAAAAATTCGCGCTATCGACTAAGTCTTTTTTAAAGGCGAGCGCTTATATTGAAACCTTTTTAAAATTCAGGGTTGGTCTTATCTTCGGGGAAACACGGTAGAATGATGTCGCTTGCATAACAATGCATATTCTGATCGTGAAACCCGATTTGCGGTTTGCATAACAATGACGGCTTTAAGTTAAGCTAGCGGTTTCCGAAGACGATTTGCTGAGTGCACCTCGAAACATATTGCATGTCATATTTATTTTAAATGTTTTATTGTTTTAAATGACGTGTTGTGTTTACTTTCTGTACGTAGGGTCTATTGTTACGTAATATGAGAGATAAACCCTACATGCTGCAATTTCGTATAGGCTGCAGTTTATTCATTTGCTGAACCGAGTTCATCAAACTTGAGTGATTTCTTTAGCATTTTAAAGAAAAACCAGGCAGTGATATAAAAAAAAGAAACGTTAACCTTTTGCCTTTTTTCCCCGGGCTTACATGATTAAAAACCTCAAAATGACATTTAGTTCATATTAACGATGACAAAATTGTGTTTTGTTTCGAGGCAGTATATTTTTCGTGTAGGTGCGCCATGAGTTTTTTCCCTGATAATTTGGCGTCGCACAAAATGCTGCCTTATGCTAAGTTTGATCAATAAGAGTGAACGATTCGAGATAAGGGCCATGTCGTCGGTAGCCATACAACGTAATTCATCATTTAGGCCTGTATAAACATGAATTGAGCCTTGCTATGCAGCAAAAAGCATTCGTACCCATTACACTGAATAATTGAGAAACGTTAATCTGAATAAATATGTGCTTGTTTTTGTTATTGAGTAGACATGTTAAAGTTGATTAGCTGTGCCAATAAAACATCAAAAATGCATAATTCGAACTGTTTGGCATTATTGGACACGTAGTGGACATAACGATCGTTTCAATATTATGTTGTTGTTGTTGTTCTTTGACACGTTTTTAAAAAATCGCTTTTCTCTTCGAATACTGGACCAATTGCTTTGAAATTTTCAGTGGTTAAAGATAAAAATTTTCTTCAGAAGGCTATTACTTTATTTTTTTTTGCTATGACGTCATCAAAATTATGTGACTCTACGTGTCCATATATTTGAGCATAGCTCTCTTGTTTAACGTGGACAAGGGCCGCGAAAAAGAAAAATTTTAATATTTAAAAAGGGGCCGCGAGCTCAAAAGTTTGTGAAGCCCTGGCATAGGGGATATAAGGTTCAAGGAATCGCCGGAATCAGCCTCTTCTGAAGAACAACAAACTGAATGCTCAGTATCGCGATCTAGTGATAAAGACCCTCCCTGTTATGAAGTAGCCATTCTGATGTAGAAAATGTTACATTCACGATACAATGCTTGAAATATATGTATTGTTAAGTATCGTTGAATGAGCTTGAATAGACCTCAGTCATTTAAAACCCATCCTACGTGCAAAAATTTTTTTTAAGATCAACAGTTAATTAAGATGTTTAAACAATTTAACAAAAACTTCTTGGAGGAAGGGTTGACTAAGTAACGGAATATTTTGGATTCGGTTAAACATGTAGTTCATTATTAAACCACTGCTTTTTTTTGTAGATTTTCACTTAGTGGACACTTAGCAAGTACGACAGTTAATTTATAAAAAAAAAATTATAAATTAATAACAAATCAGTAGGAGTCAGCTCGGGTATTCAAACATGTGATGATTGAAGTGGAAAAAAAAAGTTTAAAGTCACGTTTAGGCTATTACATTAAACAACAATGGAAAAGGTACATTGGAATCAGTCCAGCTTCAAATGCTAATGGCATTAATGAAAAGAATATGCGAAATGAAGACTGAAGTTTCCATCTCAGACATTGGAAGACGCTAAAACCTTATAGACTTGATAGTGTGGGAAGCCTTCTCACAATGCAGTAATAATGGGACATATATTTATAATATCATTATACAGGCTTTAAGTTGAACTATATGTTTAATCAAAATATCTATCTTTGCTAATAAATGCTGAAAACCATTTATTTCAGTCTGCTGAGTGATTAGGGCCAGAAATTTGCTGTAGGGACCATCACCAGGGCTGGATTCACCAATCAATAGGCTAGGCAGGCTGAAACCTAGAGCCTCGAAATTCGGTTTCGAAGTTTGTAATTCTTTTGAAAACTTGACAAGTTTAAACCCTGCCAAACGTATATATATATATATATATACATCAAGCTTTTCAGAGTAGAAAATTCTGTACACAACTGGTTTCAACCACAGCATCATAATGAGGGAAATTATTATTATGCGCATTCTGCTGGAAGTTTCTCTGTTAAAGTATGGCTGTAGCGGTTGTTTGATCAAAGAAACTGAAAGCAAAACGGCCTCAAATAAATTGTGATTCCTTTAATTAAAAATTCACAGAAGGGAGAATGAAAAATTTAATGCACTCATATTTTTAAATTTTAAGCAATGACAAGTGGTGTTGTTTAGAGAAGAATTCTGAGCTCAAAATATGAAGGGGCCTCTCATGGTCTAAATCAGGGGTTCCCAACCTTTTAATCTCAATTTCCCACTTCCGATTAGGCTGAGTTGGTATTTCCCATTACATATGGACTTGTTTAAAAAGACTAATTTCCTTGTCAATAATAACTGGTATGACTTTCTATAATAAAGGCTTGCAATTGGTGTAGAGGTTGAAATCTCGTGAAAACATTCATTCCGCCGTCTAGCATCCCAAGACAGTGACGATCCGTGTAAAGAAAATCAGTGTCATCCATCGGATTGAACAATTCAACGCTTAAAATTACAAAAAACGCATCAAAGTTTACATTACATTACACCGTTCATATCAATTCTGCTGTTTTTTATATGGTAGACCGGAAGTCTATCTTTGAGAATGCGCATTGCTATTGGACAAGGAGATCCGTTCATCTTTGGCGCCGCAGACTTACTCGGCAGAATATCATCACACTCCATGAGACAAAGTTTTATTTATGTCCCACCGATGTTATGGAACTTTTGGTTCTTGCTATTCGGAGGACGTCTACAAATGACGCAGTCAACATCACCTTTGAACTCATTTGAAATTGCCCATGTTGTCGAATCTTAGCAAACTGATAAGTAAATGTATATTTGAAATATGTTGCCTCATTTCATGTGGTTACATAGAACCATTGGAGATGGTCTTAGTGCATAAAAACGCATTGCACAGTTGCTCAAAAATTTTCGTTAAACACATGAAACGTAG